GAGGAGCTGGCTTCTACCCCGGAGGAGAGACGGCGGTCGGACGGTCGTGGGTCGCGGCCCCCTTGCTTCGTGAGTCGGGAGCTCCGGGGCCTCCGAGTAGCTCACGGCTTTGAGCGTCTGGACTCTGACTGCGACCGGCGTCTTCTCGTGAGGGGTCTGCGGGATGGATGCAAAGCCCTTTCCCGGCGTTCTGGTGTCGACCTTGAGAAGCTCGCGCTCGTGTGTGCCCGCACCGTGGGTCTGGCTCGCCGGCCGTCCGGTTTAGCAATTCGGAAGCGAGGGACTGCGCCTCACTTCTTGGCGTGCGGCCAGAAGAGGCCCTCAAGGCCCTGCTGGCGACTGACGGAGAACGCCTTCTTGGCGCGGGAGGCCTTGGCCGCCACGGAACGGGCGTCCCTGTGGGCAAGCCGGCTCCGCCCTCCGCGTGTGGAGGGGCGAGCCTCAAGAACGTCGCCTGCCGTGCCGCGTGGAGGCACGGAAATCGAGGGGCCACGGGAGACCCGTTCTGCGTCGCACCGCGGCAGAGAAGAGTAAGAGCTTCTGAATGGTTTCGTGGAGGAATTCTTGAGCGCAGCTTCCTCCAAGTATGGCCCAAATTGCCTCATTCGGTGCGAAGGCTTTGCCGGTACGCAGGCGCTTCGTCTCCTGCGCAAGCACCGGAACCAGTGCTGCACCCTCAGTGATGATCTTCAAGGAGCAGCATCTGCTGCAGTTGCCGGTCTTCGAACAGCCAAGGATGAGCTGTCTGACCAACCGCGGCTATCCCGAGGAGCTGGAGAGACTGCCTGAGGTCTTGCACCCCTGATGGTTATGGCCATGGAAAAAGAAGGAGAAAGCCCTCAAAAAGATCTGGCTGCTTGACTCAAAAGGATTGATAGTTAAGGGACGTGCTTCCGTAACACAAGAGAAAGAGGAGTTTGCCCATGAGCATGAAGAAATGAAGAACCTAGAAGCCATCGTTCAAAAAATAGAACCAACTGCCCTCATAGGAGTTGCTGCAATCGGTGGTGCAGCCTCCGAACAAATTCTCAAAGATGTGGCTGCCTTCAACGAACGGCCTATTATTTTTGCTTTGAGCGATCCGCCCAGCAAAGCAGAATGTTCTGCAGAGCAGTGCTATAAAGTAACTAAGGGACGTGCAGTGTTTGCCAGTGGCAGTCCCTTTGATCCAGTCACTCTTCCAAATGGACGGACCCTGTATCCTGGCCAAGGCAACAATTCCTATGTGTTCCCTGGGGTTGCTCTTGGTGTTGTGGCGTGTGGATTGAGGCACATCACAGATAAGATTTTTCTCACTACTGCTGAGGTTATAGCTCAGCAGTTGTCAGATAAAGACCTGGAAGAGGGCCGGCTTTATCCTCCCTTGAATACCATTAGAGATGTGTCCCTGAAAATTGCAGAAAAGTTTGTGAAAGACGCATACCAAGAAAAGACAGCCACCGTCTCTCCTGAACCACAAAACAAGGAAGCGTTTGTCCGCTCTCAGATGTGTAGGACGGGTTATGACCAGATTCTACCTGATCGTTATGCTTGGCCCGAAGAGGTCCAGAAAATACAGACCAAAGTTGACCAGTAAGAAAATAGCCAGCATTTCTAACTCTGTTCAAGGTCTTGCACTCTTTCATAAGTTTTAGAGGTTGGGATCTTTTATAATGATTTCATAATATGCTTAGATTAGGATAACTTTAACATTCTAAAAATTTATGGAAGAATATTGATATAAATTAGGGTAAACATCACATTAGACAATTTTGCTTCATTTGCCTTCTGGTTATTTGTGGTTTCTAAATTATTCTGCCTAAGTTCTCTTTAAAAGCTATTGTACCTACTACTGAGAAACTCGTTTTTATAGAGGAAACCAATTGGAAGACCAAAATTAGTAATAAATTGATATGATCAACATAAAAAAAAAGAATACATACAGAAAAATGTAACTGAGAGGAAGTCTAAGCATCTGGTATATGAGTGTAGAAGCTTTAAAATAAAAATCAGAATCACTCAAAGTGTAAGATAACATGATTTTCCATTATAATTCATTCTAACTTCAAAAAAAGTATGTCAGTTTGCTATTCAAATGAGATGGCATTTAATGGAAAACTTCTTAGTTACTCATTCTCCTATCATTTTGGTAATAAAGTAATGTTTGATAGAATTTTTTTAATTTTTCATGTTTTCAGTGTGAAATGAAAGTAAACACCTCTGTCTTCTTTTATATAATGATCTTGGCTTCATAGGTTTCCTCTGACATTTTCCAGTGTTTAGATATTAAGACTTTAATAACATATTGTGACTTTCTGCTTTGCACATGCACTTAAAAATATTTAGGAAAATATGCATTATATCACCAGAACACGTTTTTACATAGCTTTCCTAGCAAGGTCAATTTGTGTACTTTTAGTCACACTTTATAACTCTGAAACACGTATCAATAAATTTTCAAGTACTTACTAGGTGCAAGACACCTGGTTAGGCATTTCAGCTTTTACTTGTTTTACCTTTTATTTATTTGTTTGTTTGTTTTTGAGTTGGAGTCTCACTGTTGCCAAGACTGGAGTGCAGTGGCACGCTCATGGCCACCGCAGCCTTGACCTACTGGGTTTAGGCGATCCTTATGCCTCAGCCTTCCAAGTATCTGGGAATACAGATGCACGCCACCACGCCCAGCTAGTTTTTGTCATCTCACCTAGTTGCTCAGGCTGGTCTCGAACCTCCAGGCTCAGGCAATACTCTCGCTTCGGCCTCCCAAAGTGGTGGAATTACAGGCTGAGCCACTGCACCTGGCCGCTTTTACTTTTTATAAGCATTGCTAGGCACTTATGTCTTCTAAGGTTTTCTTGGTTGTAACAAAAACATAATTTGCAGGGTTTCATAAATAGGAAACATATTATATCTTAGAATAAGAAGTCCAAATGCATTGTAACTTTAGAGCTTCAAGATGTTATAAAAACTGTGGACTGTTTTCACCTCCCTGTTCTGGTTTTGTTAGCACACCAGCTGCTACCTCACTGCATCATCAAAAGATAGGTGTGCTAGGCAACCCACTCTTACACTCCACTTACAGAGGCTTTGGAAATTTTCCTAGAAATCAATATTTCTTACTCACAAACAGATTTCTACCAGCATCTTATTTGCCAGGAGGGGATAACATGTTCCTAACATGTTCCTTGCTAAGTCAGTCTCTGGTATGGCAAATGGAAGTAATTTATTGTATAGCACAAACAAGATTAACTACTTCTGGGAATAAAGAATTTACTTCACTAAGTATTTAGGCACAGGTAAGAAAACAAACATCCAACAGAGCATACTACAGAAAACATACTTATCAAAAGGTGCTAATAGAAAAAAATCAAACGTTTAATTTAAAGTTTCATAATTTAGAATTATTATAGCTAGAACTAAAATGTATTGATGCAAAAACTACTTTTATCTAAATACTTCCCCTAATCCTCACTCCTAAGATAACATCTATTCATTAAACGATTTATTTAATAGTCACTACATCTACTGTGGTGGATCAAACATTTTCTAAAATTACTGAAACAGCAATTATTCCATGGTCTGATAGTCAGACATGAAGTAGATAAGTTATTAATAAATATATGATTGATAAAATGACAAGTGATTTTGGCATTATGGGAGCAGACAAGTAGGATAGTAAGCAAGTTGGCGGAAGCCCTTAGAAGAGGGAGAAGTTAAGGTGAGTGGCTGAATCACAAAAAAGAAGGAAACTTTTTCCACAGAAATAAACGGAAAATGTCTATGTCTACAAAAAATAATAATCTTATGAAAATTTATCATTTTTTTGGTTGGTATTGTTTGAAAAGTATCATTTGGCTTTCATCTACATTTAATCAAAAATGTAAGATTTCAAATTATTCATATAATTTACTCATAAGTAAACCATATAAATATCAATAAAGATTAAAAAACTGACAAAATAATAATAATAATTTTCTCCCAAGTATATAGTTACTTATTTGTAGAACATTTATTAAAAGTATGTATTCATTTTAGGATTTGGATTTTTATTATTGTTTTTCTTGTTGTTGTTTTTTATGTTAAGATTAGCTGGTGCTAACATCAATAGCATGATATGAGGGGGAAAACAAAGGGAAAAAAAGGAATTATCTTTTTAAGGGTAGTCCCCTTGTAGTACTCACTTCCCTCACTAGCTACATGTTCCTGGAACCCATCGGCATCAGTGTATCAGCTAGCATTGTTGTTAGAGGCGTGTTGTTGTGAGAGGTCGTGTTTGGTTGCAGTAAAATGTTTTTTCTGGAGATTTTTTCAACATGTTGGCCTATTTCATGATGAATGATTTACCAGCACACCTGCACACACCACGCTGAGTGTTCAGTAGTTTTTTTTTTTTTTTTTACCAAAAATAGCATTACTCTCATACCCTACCCTTTCTTTACACCTGATCTTGCCACAAGCAACTTTTTTTTGTCTGTTACCCCAGATTAAAAAAAAAAAACCTTCAAAGGGAAATTTTTTGCCAATGTGAAGGTGAAACAGAAACAGCAGACACGCTAAAGGCATCAAAATTGATTAACTCAAAAGTGTTTTGAGCATGAAAAAAGCATCTCAATAGGTGTTTTTGAATCAAACTAAGAGTACTTTGAAGGTCACTGAAGTTTAAACATGAAAAATGTATACATAGTTTTTAACAAATAAATTCCAGTTTTTGGGAGGAGATCCCCCTTGTACTTTCTTTTGGCATTTGCATTTGTGAGTGGAGTTAACAAGATATTTCTACTTTGCAGGTTAATTCCAATTCTTATACATTCTAGGACAGTGGATAATCAATGAGGAGCAGAAAACCAGTCAAATTTTGAGACTTGAGTCTTCAGGAAGCATTCTAGCATTAAAAGATTTCATTCACAGCTTTCAATCATATAGTGTAGAAATGATGAGAATTATTAAAGCTTTAAAGCAATGAAATATTCTTTACCCGTAAAAACCCTCATGAAATTTGTATTAAAGATAAGTATATTCTGAGCCCGTGGGTTCGAGACCCCCCCTGGGCAGGCGAGACCTCATCTCTACAATAAATCAAAAAATTAGCCGGGCTGGTAGTGCACCTGTAATTCTGGCTACTCGGAAGGCTGAGGCGAAAGGATCGCCGGAGCCCAGCAGGTCGAGGCTGCGGTGGCCGGGAGTGGCCACTGCACTCCAGTCTGGGCGACAGAGTGAGACTCCGACTCAAAAAAAAAAAAAGATAAGTATATTCTTTTGAGAGCTAGAAAGAAAAAATACATCTAGTATTATACTAGAAGTTGTAGAGAATTAGGTACAAGTTTAATAAAATTAAATAAAAATTCATATTCAAAAATGAGAAGTTTGTAAGTTAATGTTAAACGTCTGTATTTCTCCAAAGTATAAGGGAAATCATACCCAAATAAGAAGAAGCCAAATCTCTATGTCCAAACTATACAGTTTGCTTGAGAAAAATTTCCTGATAGAGTGGGACCAAGTATAAATGGCAGAAAAGTTGAGAAATAGCTAAAAGATTCACAGAGAAAAAGGGAACAAGATAAGACTAGAAGAAGAGAGCATATCTGCAAATGGGAAGATTAGTGGGTGATAACTATGCTTTATGTTTCAGGGGCTAAGGTGATGCTATACCACTTCTGGCTTATGGAAGTGAGTAAGATGGTTTCTACATACCTATTCAACTATTATCTCCTATGTTAGAATTGATGGAAAAAAATAAATATCACTTGAATTTACACTTTGAAAAGTGTTTGTTATCTGCAGTGAAGGATGAAAGAATATTTGGGAAGAACAACAAGATCTCAGTCAAATAAATTCTACATCTCTGCCTCAGCTTTTTTAAATGAATAAATAAATGAGTGCTTTGCATAAGGACTTCTTTTTTTCTTGGTTTCTAAACTCCTAGAAATCCATAAAATTTTAATTGTGTTGATAATATATTGTATTATTTTTTACATTTGTTTACTTCCTCAACTTTTCCTGTAGATGGAGAATACTTTCTTACCGCACTGACTGGGGACTTGTCTGTGGAACAAATGGAATGTGAACTCAACACCAACAAAATTTCCCCAAAGCCCACAAAGACATGGACACTAAACAGCATGATGCTGAACAGCTACTGGGTCAACCATGAAATCAAAGAGGAAATTAAAAGATTCCTGGAAACAAATGAAAATGAAGAAATATCTTACCAAAACCTCTGGGATTCCACAAAAGCAGTTCTCAGAGAGGAATTTATATCTCTATGAGCACACATCAAGAAAATGGAAAGATCACAAGTTGAGAGTCTAACAAATCACCTAAGGGAGCTGGAAAGAAAGACCACCAAAACACCAACTTTAGCAGAAGAATCCAAACCACAAAAATAAGAGCCCAAATATGGGACATAGAAGACAAAAATATCATAAAATATCAACAACAAAAAAAGCTGGTTCTTTGAAAGAATTAACAAGATTGATGGACCCCCCTACCCAGAATGAGCAAGGAAAAGAGATAAAAAGCCCAAATAAACACAGTCAGAAATACAAAAGATCAAATCAAAACTGACCCCAAAGAAATACAAAAGATTATCAGAGATTACTATGTACACCTGCATAGAAACAAACTTGATAACCTAAATGAAATTGAGGACTTTCTGACATCACACAACCTCCCCAGGTTGAAACAAGAAGACATTGAGACACAAAATAGACCAGTAACAACCCAGGAAATTGACTCCGTCATACGAAAACTACCTACAAAAAAAAAAAGCCCTAGATCGGATGACTTTTCAGCAGAATTCTACAAAATGTACAAGGAGTTGATACCAATCCTATTGAACTTTTCCAGCTTAGCCCACTCCATCCTCTCTTTTCTTTGGAATGTATTGCTTCTGTC